ATTCATATTTTATTATACATATATTAAATATTATTATAATGTTAGATATGTTATTCTATAATAGAAAATAAAACTGAATGCGATGCAAATTGTTTCGAGCTGTTACACAAGTTTTGCGTGCCGAGATTTTCTCACCTTGATTTGTCGATTGTTTTTTATTTCGAAGCCTGGGATGATCGATTGTTAGATATGACATCGGACTAATTATTTAAATGATCGTATCACCGTTACACGAACACTTTCACTGCCATTATTCTATGAAAAATATATAAAAGGTTATGCAGAATATTTTGCACTTTTATTCCGCACAGAACAACATATAATTATTTATATATTATATATTTTCCTATTTAATAATTAAATATATTTCGAAGATAGATTTTTCTGTGTTATATAAATATTTTAATAAATATTTTATAATATTTAAGAGTAATGTCAGATTCTGAAAAAGTTCGATGACATGTATTTAAAATGTTGAAAATTAATAAACAAATAAAATGATTTAATTTTTATAGTTAACTTTCCTTAAGCTTAAAAATAATTATAAAACTAAACACAATTAAAAAATAAAATGGCTGCTCTAAATTCTCTTTATTGTGTATATGTTTTCGAAACCGTAAAAGAGAAAAGTAAATAAGAATTATTTTTTTTACGACTGATTTATAAATCTAGATAATGAAGTTCGAGGAAAGTTGAGTCTTCAAAATTCTTAAGAATAGACATGTGGCGAATTATGTAAATTCAATTATTTTCCATCCAATCATACAATCGACGATGACGTCAGATACGTTTTTCAAAGGTGCGTATTTCTCCCTCTTCGTACATGGTCGCGAGTTTCTCATGCCTCGTTGTCGAGGACGAGGCCTCAGCAGCCTCGAGTTTCCACTGGCTGTCCGAAGTGGACATTTATTGAACCTGCGAAGTTTATAAAGCTCCCTTCACCCTGCCACCTCACCGTTGATAAAGTTCAGAAATAACGAGTTCTATCTTTTATCCGTCATGCGATCGTGTTCTGTGCACACCGTAAGCTGCGGCGTGCGTTGTGCAAGGTGCGTTTCCGAGTGATAAATCTGCTGCGTCGAAGAAAAAAAGCATGCTAATCTGGTGCAAATGAGTATTAAGCGAAGAATATATAGCACAACGAGGGAGAAGAAGCAAAACTTATATTCTCTGTAAACGGATGAAATTAATTAATTAAATAATAATTGGCTTATATTTTTTATATAAGCCAATTATATAAGCCAAGAAATGCTTAATATTGAAGAAAATCATGAATCTGAATTGTTTTGATTTCTTTATTTAAAAAAATTGAATAATAAAGAAGTTTAAGTGGCTAATAATTCAAATTAATCAAATAAAGAGTATGTGCCACAAGGCAAGATTTTAGTAGCGAGATAATATTTTATTCTGTAGGTACATATAACGTTTATAATTATTATTTATATATTTACAGAATAAAATATTATTTTGCTATTAAAATCTTGCGTTGTGGCACATGCCCTTTATTTGATTCATTTGAATAATAAAGTTTAAATGTTAATGTATTTTATTGAATACTAAAAGTATGGCGATCGATAAAATACTCCTAACTTAATAGCAAAAGAAATGCATATTTTATTTTTACTCAAATGAAAATATTTTTACTCTATTTTTAAAGATGCACTCAGCCTATCATGGCTATATCAAATTGCAAATTATTCAATTATATTTGGCGAGCAGTAATACGCTCACGAATCACGATATCCACAAAGTAAGAGGAGTTCTTTTCAGATCGCCCAAAAACTTACGCAACAATAGATTCGATTCCATGAAGGCCGACATGGTGGTGCCTGAAAGTAAGTTCGGCCTCGACCTGAATATTTGTGCGAAATTTGTATTAATTTATTTATTTTTTTGTGATGATTTTTAGTGCTGGCTTCCGTTGTGCCCCCGTCAGATATTTTTAATCCTTCCACTGATAGTCTGCACGCAGCCATGAGACCGATTATTTTACTGGCCCAATGCTTTGGCATGTTTCCGGTGTGCGGTGTCAATAAGCCGGATGCCTCGTATCTTCGGTAGGCGGAAATGGTTTGCAGGCGTAAATGGTATCTGATCGATGTCCCTTTCTATCAACTTTAATTTTTGTTTAACTTACTTTTATCCTCTTCTAATTCTAAGAATTAGTAAAAAATAGAGAGTAAGTTAAATCAAGATTAAAGTTAATCTATATTAATAAAAATGAGCCAGATATCCATTTCTATCAATATCGATTAGTTTTAATCTTGATTTTTTATTTATAAAGATAAAGAGTAAATTAAATTGAAATTAAAATTAATCTGTCTTATATTGGTAAAAATAAACTTGTCCATTTCACCAAGGCTTTAATTTATTCTTTATCTTCTTCTAATTTTTAGAAATAGAAGAAGACAAAAAATTAAACCGAGATTAAAGTAATTATTGGTTAAAAAGAATACGAATTGTTTATTATTCGCTCCTTTTAATATTCTCAAATTTTTTAACATTCTCTCTAATCGAAATCTCATGAGTCTTCATGAATGTCCTGCAGATTTACATGGTACCACCCGAAAATCTTTTACGCGGTGAGCATTATTGTAGGAACGTCTATCCTGACAGTCACCAATATTCATCGTTTGGTCACCTCGGGGGTAAATTCTACGAAAATGAGTAAGCCTCATTATAGATAACATTGTATGTAGGAATACAATTTCTGTTGTTTCTAAACGATATTTATCTTAATTACCAGCGACTTTCGTTTTCTTTCTCACGACTCTGATAACCGCAGTCATGTTTATACGATTGGCAATGCATTGGCCTTGCCTAGCGTTAACTTGGGAAAAATTGGAACGTGAATTCACCTCGAAACATCGGCGGATTTCTAAGACCAGTCTCGCAACTCGTTTTAAAATCGTAACCTTTGTCGTCATGTTGCTCGCGTTTGGTAAGCGCTGATTGTAGATCAAGATAAAGATTACGTAGGCACTTACGCATTTCATTTATTTTAAATTCTATGGGATTCTAATTGAGTTCACTTTCTTTAGTGTAAATAAAATTATATTATCAAACCTAATTTATAAATTACGTTAATTTTTACTTAGTTATTTTAACTATTTTTACTTGAATGTCAAAGTTGTATATTAATGTATATTAATCTCTTATTTCAAAAATGACTTACAAAAATCGTGATTTTTTTTATTATTCTCAATAAGTTAAGTAAACATTATCCTATTAATCATCAAAATTAAACTAATATTTGATTAACCTAATAATATTAATATATTTTTATATAGGAGAACATTCTGCCGCTGTGATGGCTGGATACACCAGTGCATTAGAATGCGCAGCGTATCTTGATGACGCGGATGTTGCTGGTATTTATTTCATATCACAATTCCCTCAGGTAATATACTATACTAGATATACTTAATTCATAATTTTATCGCATTTTAGAATTAAATTTATTTTTAAACGTTAAAAAACATATTGTTTCTCTCTTTTTCTCTTTAAATGAGAACAAAAGCTGGATGAAAAATAATGCATGTGCTTTTAATTATTGTTGAATCAATGTATAATATGATTAATTGTTGAGCATTTTTTTTACAGATCTTCACAAAATTATCCTACAGTCTCTGGAAGGGGATTGTGATTGAAACTATAAATATTCTCAGCACATTCTCGTGGAATTTTGTCGATCTATTTCTTATTCTTATCAGCATAGCTTTGGCGGATCAATTCAGACAGCTAAACAGTCGCCTCTTTTCGATACGGGGAAAGGTACAGTGCAATTTGTTATAAGGTATTTGTCTTCACCTATAAATAAT